TAGCCAGGCCTGATTCTGCTTAGCTTGCCAAAACAGAAAGGATATGTTGTAGATAGGATGGAAACTGAAGAATGTCTATTATAGCAATACACAGTCTAATCACCCACACTCGGTTTCTTAACCAGATGAGTTCCCTTTGCGCTGGTCTAAATGCCACTGGATAGAATAATTGGTTTGGATTAGAACCAGCAGGGCCGCCTTCTCCATGGAGAGAATTCTCTGTGCCTTTAACAGGACCGGTTGTCAACAGAGATGCAGCCGCCGGGAAAGCTGCACCTGTTGAAGTTCTGTCTGCTGTGTAACTGATTTTATAAAGAGCTTGTCCCCTCAAAGTGTGGCAATCCTGGTGATTCTTAATCCCACCTTGTTTGTGGGTGGGTGTTTTATATCCTGCTCTTCAATATCAAAAAGGAAAAATCTTTCGTGCCTTATCAGAGGCACATACAGGGGGGAAGAAATTGCTGCTCACTTAAGCCAACCTGACCTAGAGAGCAAAAGTCTGCAAACAAGTGGGTTTGAGCCTGACATGTAGATGAGAATAGAGTCAGGGTCATCCCAAAGCCCAGGGCCCTGCTGTGGATGATGAGGTGGGGAGAAGAACCCAGCCGGAGAGCTTTGTGAGCCAGTTCAAAGTGATGCACAGTTGTTTGCACTTCAAAGGGCTGAGCCGGGACCATACAGGGAAGCAGGAAATGGTGTAAAGCAATTAACAAATGTGTTACAATGGGTAGATTAAAGAGCGTTCTCATGTGGCAACATCCACACACACTGGTTTTGTTAGGGTTGCAGTACACCATTGCAAACAGCATAAGTATATGTAGGAAAAGATAGCATTGCCAGTGGAATACTGGGGAAAAAATAATGCAAATAGAAAGAAGCACCTGCACAGGTGTGCTTAACTATCTAACTAATAAATTGAAACATGAAACAGACAGACAGACAGATAGACAGGTGAAGATAAACAGACAAGACGATTTAACACACTCTCAAAAGCACTCACAGGTTAGTCATACTTAGAGCAGACCTATTGAAATTGGTGAGATTTTAGTTATAATTAATTTGCCTCATTGATTTCGGTAGTTCTAAGTATAATGAGGTTTCCCAGTGTGGTGTAGTAGATAGAGTGACAGACTAGGGCTCTGGGGAACAGGGTTTAAATCCCCACTCAATCACGGAGGGGTGGAACTGGCAAAACCACGCCTTAAATATCTCACTTATCTTGAAAACCCTATTAGGGTTGCTCTAGGTTGGTTCCAACTGGATGGCACAGAATGCATGAAAGTACTTTATAATGAAAGCTAGACCGGATCAAATTTGAATGCAGACATGTGAACGAAGTGCCTTTAAAATTTATAATACACAATATTACTGTTGTTTGAGAAATTCCACAAAACTGGTCCATCGAAGTTTAATTCTTACAATGTTCAGGATATACTGTAAATGATGCTAGCTTTGAAAACTAGGTTCTCCTCAAGTACATGTTTTCTAGATGCTGGAGGAAGTTACACTTAAATCTTAGGACTATGCCTTTCATCATGATGACTCTACAGGATGTGTATAACTGCTGCTTGATATCCTGATTAATTACATCCTGTCAAGTTAATTCTGATTTATAGTGATACTGTCCATGATTTTCTAGGTAGAGAGTACTCAGAAGTGGTTTCCTATCCCCTTCTTCTAAGGCCTGTCTGTGACTGTGCAGCTTGCCCAGGGCTACACAGGCTGGCTCTTCTCCCAAGAAGCACATCAGGCAATCACACTCCAACTGCTTGATGTCCTAGAGATAAATAAATCTGGTTTGACATTGAACAACCATTTGAGATGTGCAGTAAAAATGAATGGCCTGCTGATTAAGACAACCTCGGAAGTACTCAGACTCAACATTTGATCACATTTCGTAGTGGTATTACTACAGCATCAAGGAGTGAACTCGCAGTAAGTGAATTCTAGTTTGGTGACCTATCAAAACCAGATTTTTCTACACATACAGTTTGGAATCAAAATTAAAAGGTGGGAGGACCTTGAAATAGCATTTCATTTCTGGATCAAACTTCCAGAGGTGCAATTCTTCATTCCGCATGCAGCATAAGGGCCACACAATGTCTACAACACAGTTAGTACTGGCAACCATTCATTGTTCCAAATAATTATTTCTGTTGTGCACACTTGTATTCCTTATTACAACTACACACCAGAACAACAACAATCATCATCGTAAAGAGATGCACCCATCACATACAGACTCAATGCCTAAAATTTGCTTTGACAAATGATCATTTTGTACCAAACGATGGAATCACCACCTCAAACTTAAGAGTTCCCATCTGTGAATACTGTGGGAGGTAAGAAGGAGGATGTTCTAAAGACAACACATGGGGAACAGCCGTGGTGCTACTGTATCTTCCTCCAAGGCGTGGCTGAAGGTGCTTTCTGCCAGCATATCCTGCCCATCAGTCATGGCTTGATCTATCTGTCCTCCTACCACAACACATAGCCTGGATAGCCATCCATCTCTGTCTCAGCAACCACATTCTGGCAACCTCCTGGCCTGTCAGGGTATCCTACAGATAGGCAAATATCTGGTGCAAGCAATTGACTTCTTAGCATCTCATCCCACAGACAGAACCGGGATCTTCAAAGAGTCAAATGAAAGCAAGGCAAAACACCTGCATACCTTTACCAGGGAAGGTCTGTTTGTCATTCTTGCTCCTTGGTGGACACAAAGGTGCACAGAGGCAGAACAACAAAATTCTACACAGAAACAGATGCAAGTTATGCTTCTGCCCAAACAACTTTCTGATGGTTCCTCAAGGGATAGTTAACACCCCTTTGGCAAAACAAATACCGGTAAACAAAATAGCCAAAACACCAACTGGCTGAAACCCTGCGAAAAGGAGAAAAATAATAACATATATTGAAGCACATTGTTATCTAATCTTGACCTTGCCGCTTGCTGTTGAATTGCAAAAAACATCCCTGGAACTCCAATGGTCTACTGCTGGCCATCTATTTCCATGTGTACCCAGTCTAGCAACTTATACTGATTACAGATCAGTTAAATTTTCAATGAAATTCAATGAAAGATAATTGCCCTCTCCTTCACCAGAAATGTCTAAGAATTGCACCCTCATAAAGTATATTATCATCACTGTTCTCTTATTCATGTGGGTTCCCTAATGATACTTTACAGAAGTATGGAAGCAAAACAATGCAAATGCCAGCCCGAAGGAAGACTGGATTTGCCAAAGAGATCCTTGTGGGGAACCTCGGCTTATATGACCCTGGACCCAAGCTGCCCAGATCTCCCCCGCGTCATTTGCAAGCCAAACTCTCCACCCTGGCCAGGCTGTGAATCCATTTTGTCTTCTGGCATCATCAGGCTCTTTTGCTCTCCACCCTGAGTTCCCACATTTTTTTCTCTATTACCAAACTCCTCTGAGTGTATTTTTGGAATTATCCTGGAATTCTACTGGGGGCAGCATTTGGTGCTAAGGTGCTTCCCAGGCATTTTAGCCCTAATGCATCATTGGAAGCGGGAAGCAAGAGCTAAGAAGGGAAGTGCAAGTATACATGTAACACTGGCTCCTTTCACAGTCCTGGGACAGAGGCACACGCTGCAGACCGCTCCGAGCCCACAGTGGCTGTGATGATCGTGCACTGAAGCGCCTTAGTGCTAGTAAACAGTTACGACACTAGTCCTGGTAAACCCTGTGATCTCCCATCACCAAAACAGCAAAAATAAAAAACGGGTGGGAAAAACAACATGGGACGAATTCTGCATCTGGAAAGCCTGACCTGATCAAAGGCATTTGCTTGTCTAGTTAAAACAGACAGATCTCAAGTGCTGCTGGCTGAGGATGTCTAGGAGATCCGATCATACAGCCCATACCATCCTTGTAAAAATGCTTTGCTCTTGTGCCTTTGAGTACATTGTACATACCTTTGGTTACCAGGTTAATGACAGAGGGTGTGTTTAATGATTAATGTGTCAAAAATTGGCCTTTCCCCCAGCCCTAATCCTCACCACCCATCCACCTAATCCAAAAGGTCTCAGATGGACTGGCTACTTTTAGAAAGAGGCTTTGAGACTGGGTGCATTCTGCGTGGGGTGAGAAAGAGTTGCCCACTCCCTATGCTGAACCCGGCCAACACAGAACGCCTTTTAGAAGGCCTCTAATGGAGACCTACCCCAATAAAACGAGGAAGTTATTTTATTGGCAGAATGGGGGCGCAGGCTCTAAATATCAGCCCTAGCACACGGAACTGGGCCTGGAAACAGCTTAAGTACCAGTCCAGCCGGTGGAGCACTGGCCTCACATGAGTGTACAGACCAGTCCTAACTAGAGGGTGTGCATCATGCATACAGAACCTAGGTATGCATATAGCATGGGCCAAAAGACCAGGAGCAGCAGCAGCAAACTTTGGAAAAGTTAGTTTTTAAAATATGAGATATGCTGGCTGGAGGATTTTGCATCCTGTAGTCCAAAAAATGTAATTTTTCCAGGTTTGACCAGTAGTCAGGAACTCTGATTTCCCCCCTCTGTGTGTGTTCATTTCTGCAGACAAGAGCAGGAACGGGTCTATCATGCGTAAGACGCTGCACAGGATGCTGTCGTTCCCCCTCACAAACGATGACATTTCGGAGTCGCGACTGGTCTGCCTCCTGCCCTGTCCTTTCCCTCCTGGCACTGCACCTTTAAAGAGATAAAAAGAAGAACCCTTCGCGCTCCCGATCGCGCACAAGCCTAATCAGCCCCCTTTTGCATCCATAACAAGCACCCCAGCGGGGGTGCCCAGCACTTAAAGGAGATCTAGCCAGGCCCCTCTTTGAAATCATTCAATCTATTTTAATGATTGGTTCGCTCTCCCGACTTCAAAGGCGCCTCCAATCGCCACTCCTGATAGGCTGAAGGAAAGCCAAAAAACAAAACCGAAAAGAAAGAAAAAAAGAGGGAGGGAGGCATAGTTGGGTGGGAGAGTGATCGCGGGAAGGGAGAAGATGCAGACCGAGGAGGGAAGCAGGATTTCGCAGAGAGGGAAGAGAGAGAGAACCTGATTTTCGCGCCTCTGCTGTTTTCCCACCTCAATTGGAGACCATGGTATTTCTCCCTGACCCCCGATGGCCCCTGTGATTGTTCAGAACTTGGAGAACATCTCACCCACCTTCATGCAGGTATGAGATTATTTGGAATAAAAGTGGCCTGGCCACCTGGAGTGAGGGTGGACCAGCGCAGAAAGCTTCTCTTTGCCCTTTCCAGTGTATGTGGGTTGTTTTTGTATTATGTTATATTATTTTTTTAAGAACCCAGGGAAGAGCTGTGCTAATCTGTTGCAGAAAAATCAGAGAGGGGCCTTGTATAACATGCAAGACTATCAAGTTTTCATTGGCATAAGTTTTTGTGCGCTGTCGCCTTCTTCGGATGCCTTAGATGAAATGGGCAATGTAGTCCGTGAAGGCTCCCACCAGATTGACTTTGATAGTCTCTAGAAGGCACCACAAAAATCTTTGGCGTCGTTGCCAGCTTGAAATCCAACAAGTGTGGATGCTCCTCCTGGCAGCTCAGATGCATTAGTGTGCACAGTGGGGGGGGGGGAGGCTTCACCTGTTGATTTTTCAGGCTGACGTGCAACTGCTAAGAAGGTGGAGTTGGATTGGGAAATGAGGGTCCTAGATTTATAGTGCCTGGTTTGTTTGTTCAGAGGGAAGTCCCTATTAAATCAATACTTTTATTCCCAAAAATAACCTAAATGTGGCACTGAAGTCAATGCAGAGTATGGAAAGGGAAAGAGCACACATTCAAGGATGCTGTTATTGTGATTTGAATATCTGTACCTAGCCTTTCAATTCAAGAAACAGCTAACAAGATGTAATGAACACAACAAGGCAAAAGAAAAATTGCTGGCTAGCTCAGTGGTTTAGGTATCTGGCTGGGAGTTCAATTCCCCAGGGTGACTCCTTGACAGGGACTGGATTCGATGGGTCCCTTCCAGCTCTGCAGTTCTAAGAAATACAGAATCAGTACCAGCATAACCTGCTTAACTTGGATGTCCACAAAAGGACAACAGGTTTATTGATGTGCCTGGAAGCTGTGAGACTGAATATCACCTTTTACTATGCAGCAAAGTATAGTGGCTTATTCTTGGCATTTTTGAAATCATGATCTCATCCCATCAGCTCAGGGCCCTGTGGCAGGATCCCTTAAGCATTTAGCTGCAATATCTCCTTAGATCAGTTTATCTTATCCTGATCATTACAGTGACCCAGTTTAGGCTTCAAAACTACTTGTTCGTGTCAAGGAATAGGACAAGAATGGCAGAGCGGGAACAGCATTGTGAGCAGGTCTTGTAGCAAAACAGGCTGGACCAGAACAATGAGAACAGCAGACTTTCAAAACAGTGAGACCTTTTTTACCTCTGGACCTTTTAGTGATTCTGTCAGGACAAGAGGGTGACATGAAGCAGGTAAGGATGTTTTTTAACTTAGTGGTTTCAACTAGGATCCAGAAGCACAGAAGCACAGAACAAAACAAGACCATTCCTAGAGTGTGTGAATTAAATGTGTGCAGATTTGTGTTTTTGAGTAACAGCCTGTTACTGAGGGGTGCTGGGAGATGTAGTTAGAAAACACAAATCTGCTCATATCTAGTGTCAATTATTACCTAGAATCCAGACATTAAAAATATTAAAGCTGACTCAGTTTACCCTCATAATGCCTTAGGCAGGGAAAGAATTTACACTGCATTTGGTCAGGATTTTAGAAAGAGTACTTTGACTGGAGCTCCAAATATATTATCAGTATCTATTTATGATTCTTTGAAAAGAGAGACTAGGATTTTCATTGGATAGTTGTTGTACAAAATCAACATATAGTTGTGTATACTGACTATCCATCAACATTTGCTTTTATTTACCAAAAAAATCTAATACAGATATTACATAATTTCTTTCTTTTGATGAATCAAAATTGGTACAGACTATCTTCATTCAACCTTCCAGGGCAAAAACATATCACTCGATGCTAGGATGCAGTATAAGAGGTGGAAAGATAGTTCAGTGGTACATGATGTACCTGGAGAAAGTTGCAATCTCAGTTCCCTGTATCTCCAGTTAAACAGATGGGAAGATGTTCTCCCTGACACTCCAGAGAAGTGCTTCCAGTCAATGCAGACAACATTGATTTAGAATAGATGGACAAAGAATGAGCTGGTAGGAGGCAGGCTCTTATTTTCCTATCAGTAGGAATATTTGGAATTTTAATTTCTAGAGCAGGGTGCCTGACCTGTAGTGTGTGCCTGTGGTTTTTCCCTCTTGCAGTCCCTCAGATCAGTAGGACACCTCCACCTTTCCCCATAGCTCACCTAGGCTGCAGGAGGAAAGCATTGCTCTTCTCCAGGAGTAGCAAATAAAGAGAAATCTCTTTAGCAGTGATTAGTACAGAGTGAGTGTCTGTATGTCTGTGTGTACTGAGATGAGTATGTGTATGTGTGGATATGGGCACAGGTGTAAAAGTATGTTACTCTCCATTTATGCATATGCAACTCCCCTTGCAAAGCTGGCTGTGGCCCTCGGGTTTAAAAAAGGTGCTGTTCACCCCTGATTGAGGCCAAGATTTTTTTATATATGTGCGGCTAAAGAGGCTATTCGATAAGCAATGATAATAACAGTACAAACCACTTATTTTGGACTTTAGAAAAAATGCTTCATCACCTCAGTTGTCCTGACAACAATCTCAATGCTTGATGACGGTCAACCCCAGTCCCCAGGGTAGGTCACAAGTCAGGCGCTCCTCACCTTATGCTCACTCTCTTACTAACACCACCTGTTCTTAGTCAACTTGAGCCAAGGTAAACCCAGGTTCCTCTGTCTGTCAGTGTACGTTGCTCCTGAGCTTGAAAATCTTCCTTTTTTTTTTTTTTGAGACTACCAACTCCCAGAATTCCCTGGGCAACAACTGTGGGAGAGATAGTCTTAAAAAAATAAAACTTGTCCAGGCTATTCTCATGAACAGGGAAACAACCGGTCAAGCCTCTTGTTTCTGCTGATCAATGCTTAGTCTGTCCTGGCTTCCCCTTTTTGTGACTCACCTGGTTAAAACGGTCTAGACCAGTAGCTCCCAGGTTTGATCCCCAGATGTTCTTGGATTAAAATTCCCAGAAGCCTTCACCACTAACTATGCTGTCCAGGATTTCTGGGAGTTGCAGTCCAAGACCATCTGGGGACCCAAGCCTGGGAACCACTGGTCTAGACCACTGGTTCTTAACCTTGGGTTACCCAGGAGTTTTGGACTGCAGCTCCCAGAAGCCTTCACCACCAACTGTGCTGGCTGGGGTTTCTGGGAGTTGCAGTTCAAAAACATCCGAGTAACAAAGGTTAAGAACCACTGGTCTAGGCAATGTGGAGGAAGAGGGTGCACACAAATAAGCAATTGAAGGTGTAAATAGAGAACAAATCTAACACAGCAGTCCAATTAAGAAAATCAGTGAGGCAAGAAAAGGAATAGTAAATGAATAGGAGAAAACCAGGAAAAGAAATCCTAAAGCAGCAATAGTGAGTCTGCCTACACTCAAAATGGCATAATTTGTGGAGAATAGCTAGATATTCTCTGAAGGTCCCACAGTAGTCAGCTAAGCTTTTTGTTCTGATTGGCACAGGGTGGAGAAGGCCAGCTCCAAAAGAGTGTGGTGCCAAATTTTATGCTGTTTAATTCAGGGTGTGTTTGAGGGACACTGGCCACCAGTTGGCCAATGGATAATCATATTTGTATGAACAAGAGCAGTAACAGCCATGTTGACACAAAATAAATGCTAGCTTGTTTTACAGTAATACCTTTACGGTCCAACCAAATTACCTCGATCAGCCTGTAAAGGTGCCACCTCAAAATGGTGTCTGGAGTATATCAGCAGGAGCTGCTCAGGCAAAAGACAATCAACATTAGAATTCACCTCAGGAAGATGAGAAACAGTAGGCAATATCATCCCCATGGTGCAGGTGAGGACTGAAACAAAGAAAACAGTGTCTCATCCCAAAGAGATACTTTGTGAATTCTAGGCCAAGGAAACATCCTGATTCCGTCTCATAGCCGTTGTCCCACATTAGAAGGCAGGGCGGTCGAACCTCTGAATGGCTAGATTTGGGGGCTGCAACTCCCATCTCTCATAATCATTCACTATGGGCAGTGCTGGCTGGAGCTTCTGGGATATGAAGTGCAAGAACCACTGAAAGGCCAAAGGTTTGAGACCCCCCCCCAGGTACAAAGTAAGGCTTACAACATGTCTGGGTTACAGTCCAGACAGATTCACTTTTGATTTTTTTTCACATCATGTCAGTTTATAGTAGGGATGGGTGCTTGAATCATGGGACTCGCTGTCAAGTCACACTTAAGTCACACAGGTGACTTGGCTCAGAGGGTCCCCCCCCCGAAAGACTCAGATGCAACTCATGACTAGGAACCCACTCACCCCTCCCTTTTTCCTGGGCGGGGGGAGGCTTGTTTAGAATAGGGACTCGGACTTGGGGCTTGGGACTGGAGGCTTGTTTAGAATAGGGACTCTACTTGAGGCTTGGGACCGGGGACTTTGTACCAAAGACTTGCCAACATCTCTGGTTTATGAATCGGTAATTGCTACCAGTGTTTACATGTTATGCTTTCAGGAAGTCTGCTGGGAAAGTACCATGTAGCCCATGATACTTAGGGTTACAGCTCAATCCAAATAATAATGAGGTGCTAATGATACCATGTTCCACTTGTTCTGGACCGGGTGGTACTTGCTCTAAAGGATAGTACTTGCTCTCTGTCTTGGAACGTTCCTACAGAGGATTCAGATTCATCCCTTGAGATTTGAGGTACTGTATAAAACAGTTTTCACACCAGCTGCAATTCATGTTGGACATGGATCGTTGGGCCACTGCGACACATGCTCCGAACATCCAGGTTAGAACACTGAAATGGTTTGTGTTTGGGGTCGCCTTTGAAGGCTGTTCAGAAAATATCATTAGCTCAAAAATCAAACACAACACTGCTGCTAACCATGATAAAGAAATAGGAAACAGTCCTGAACCATTTTCTGCTCTATTTCTGAACACAATTCAGAGTATGCTGGGGTTCACCTTTAATATCTTACATGGCTTGGGTCCAGAGTATCTTGAGCATTGTAGGCTCTGACATGAGCCTCC